CAATATTTTTATTTTTTATTTTTATTTTTTACAGTGTAGAATATCAATGTTTAGGCAATGTTTTATCTAACCGCACAAGACTGTCTCGTTCTGGACATACTGAATTCTGCTGTACTGCATGTTTATTAGATATGAGCGCACGTTCGCATCCTTATCATGATAAAAATGTCTAGGCTGATGCTTTCCATAGAATAACTTTTGGAGAGCTGCATGCACTGTCAAATGTGAAGTGGTTTTGAGAGCTGTTTCTATAGAACTGGACCCTGGGGGTTAACAGACCACTTTCTGTAGAAATGGCCTCTGACTGACCTATAATAAAATTTCCATAAAGTCGTTAAAAGACCCTGGAGAAAGAGAGATGGTTATCAGATATTAGACCAGTAATATTTACGCCTCTGAACCTGTCAGTCATTCACCATGAAATGACCATTTCATAGTGTGATCATCAGAATGGGAGTTCAAACAGCTAATAAAAACATCACAATAATCCACAAGTGCACACACACTTCAGTCCATCAATTGTCTTGGGAAGCATGTTTGTAAGACACAAATCCATCAAGGTGATTTTGAAATCCATTCCTTGTTGTCTTCTCATATCAAAATCCACCAAAATATTTGTTGAGAACTGTTTTGAACTTTTTTCGCTGGTAAACTGATCTGTGCATATTTCTCTCCTCAGTCAGACAAGACCACTTTTTCAGTGGCGAAAGCAATATTATGGATAGAGGACTCGTTTGAAGTTAAAAACATCTTGATGGATTTGTTTCTTACAAGCAAGCAGATTTTCACTTCACAGGACATTAAATGATGGACTGGAGTCCTGTGGGTTACTTGTGGATTATTGTGATGTTTTTATCAGTTGTTTAAATTCTCATTCTGACGGCACCCATTCACTGTAGATGATCCATTGTTGGGAAAGTGATGTAATGCTAAATTTCTCCAAAACTGTTCAGATGAAGAAACAAACTCATTTACATATTAGCTGGCCTGAGAGTTAATAAATTGTCAGAAAAATTTATTTTTTGGGTGAACTATTCCTAATGCATCGTATAACCTCCTGGTTGAGAAGCACTGCCCTAAACATCGAATTAGTATTCTTGACTTTCTTACACTTTCTGCATATTGAACTGTCTTTTATTCCCAACACCTTTAATGCTTAAAACCTGAGCTTACCTAAAACTTTAACACTATTCTTTTGCTGCCTTCAGGTGATGCAAGTCCAAATGTGCTGAGCAGTCACAGTAGTTCATGCTGAGTGAGAATGTGTTGCATTACTACGGCCGGTTGATCAGGGCGTGCTGGTGTCACTGTGTGAGATCATGTGACTAGGCGAGTGGCAGGAACTGATAACATCTGCTGAACGAACATGTCTAGGGGCAGCAGTTGGTGACCTCAAGGCTAATAGGGTAACACTGAGACAGGAACATGTTTTGTGTACCTCCCCTACACACATCTACACATCCGTATGCAGAACATAAAGTCATCAGCACATTTTCTTTGATTGAGGCATAGACATACAGTACACTTATCTTTAAAGACTGTCTTCCTATCTTTAAAAAAAATCAGGCATGGTCATAAAATTCAAGCAGTGTGTACTGTAAATGATGGCATCCAGTGTACTTTGTAAGTTCTGTTACTGTATTTAGCATAAATGTTCCGGTGTTTTATTTAGATGGCATAATAAATTACTTAAGAATGTTCCTTCATGACTTCATGAGTATAAGAGCAATAGGGAATGGCCCAAGGATTTGTTTCCAAATGTATTTCATGCCATAAACATAATTGGAAAAACCAATGATGTTTGGAAAACTCCTTTCTATTTCTCATTAAATATGCTTTTTAAAATCTGTTTCTTTGATATAACTGAACTTAAATAGGTTAAACTGGACAGTTGTAGTGCAGACAGAGTCTCCTGTGGTCTATCTGTCGACTGAGGTCTGGATATTCTGGAAAAGCATTTATGATTACGTAACTTTAACTTTAATCAAAAGTAACAGTAAATATATTTATATGTTACAAAAGAATTCTGTTTCTAATAAATACTGTTCTTTTGAACTTTCTATTCATCAAAGAATCCTGAAAAAGTGTATTAAGGTTTCCACAAAAATCTTAAGCAGCACAGTTGTTTTCAACACTGATAATAATAATAAATGTTTCACCAAATCAGAATGTTAAAATGATTTCTGAAGGATCATGTGGCCATTTTTACTATTTTTTTTTTATCAAATAAATGCAGCCTTGGTGAACATAAGAGACTTCTTTCAAAAACATTAAGTTGTCTTACTGACCCTAAACTTTTGAACTGTAGTGTACATTCATAGAATGTTCAGCTTTCAAAATCTAATATCATTGTAATATTTGCATGTTAAATTGCGATTGCACTTCTTTCTTACATCATCTTACATTTTTTTTTATTAGCTATAACTTGAATAGCTTACACTGGATATTTGTAGTGCAGACTGTCTGTCGACTGCTGTCTGGATATTATGGAAGGGCATTTGTGATTATGTAATCTTTTCACATAGAGAGCACTGTAATACTGTCCTGTTTTTGTAAGTGTGTGACACCATGCCACTGCCAAACTTCCTCAAGCCAGGTAAAGTAGGACATGTCCCATGTGAAAAAATGTTTTGTAACCTAAAACACCACCAGAGGAAAAAATGCTGCAATATTTCCCCTTCCTTTACCCATAAGTCAGTAAAATAAACTTTTTGTCTCTTTTGTTAGTGTTTTTGAGTCACAATAGATGGTGTTTACTAACTCATTGTGGTATTCATGAGGTATTCCAGTTCAGAGAATGCGGGAACATGGAAATGGATAATACATTACAGGAACTTTTGAATTTGCTATAATTACGTTGGTTTGGGTTCACCTGACCCTGATTAGAGATGCGCTTCTTATGGCATAGGACATATTCTTGCATTTCAAATTAAACATAATTTAAAAGAAGAAGAAGAAGAAGAAACATACAAAAAAAAAAAGAAACAAAATCTAAACATTTTGACCTTCATGACCCATCCCTGCTTTGAACGGAGAGCTATTCATTTACCTTATCCTGTCAGACTTATTAAACCAAAAAACAATCTAAACGTAGATTTACTGTAGGTCTTCAGGGTAGATTTGTATTAGTGGCATAAAATACATATCAAATGTAAGCAAGGCATGACTGATGCATATTAAACAGGACTGTAATATTATAATGAATCCAATTGTGGATGCTAGTAGCCAAGCTCAAGACATAACTTGTTTTCCACAGTACAAGCACTTCAATTCCAGCATTACTTCAGTTCCTGAGAAGGTTTCGTCATTTTATTTGTGGAGCATTAAGAATAATTTGAGTGTATGTCAGTAACTATTGCACATGACCTTCAAGTTTGTGTCAGTAAGGATATCAGGGGTGTGGGACTGTAGAGGCCAGTACATAATGCCGAATACTGATTTTAGTGAACATTCCTTTTAACTGATAACAGTCCAGTCCGATGCTCTTATTGCGTAGACTTGTCTTGTGTGTTCATTTCTGTACATTTTTATTGTAATGATTCTGTTTGTTACTGTAAGGATGTTGATTTGACAAGTTCTGTTCTTTGATGCTGAGAAACCGGTGATGCACAGGTGATGCTATGTTGTGGTGTGATTTTTTTTTTATGATGTCTGTAGGTTTATAATGTTTTTATGTGTTTTTTGTTTTGTTTTTGCAGTTATATGGTTTCAAAAATGTCCTCTAAAATGGTGGGCTCAAACAACCTGGCAAATGCTAGGAGGATGGTACAGCAACTGAGAGTCGAGGCCAGTATTGAGAGGATAAAGGTATATTTTCTTTTCCTTGCATCTTTAAAAGATCTTTCTTTCCTCTAGTCCTCTTTATATGTGATTGTGTATTTTGAATTTATAACAAAATAAATAGATAATTATATTAATAGATAATACCTCCCAATCAAAAACGACTAGCCTTTTAAAAATTGCTTTTAAATATCTTATGCTATATTATCACCAAATCTTGGATTCAATCTTTTTTGCAACTTGTTTTCTTTTAATTAGCACAGGTTTTATATTTCTTTTTGCTCGTGGGCCTCATTGTTCTGAGCTTATGCTCCTCAGTTGTTGAGTGAATGATGTATAGTATAGACACATTAAGGACATGTGAGTGTATGTGACTGTGATGTTGTGGTAGTCATATGAAGGCTACATCATTTTGGGGAAAAAATGGTAATGGTTATGCTACCCTCCAAAAGTTTGGGGTCAGTACGATTTTTTTTTTAAAGAAATTATTATTGTTATTATTTTGATATATACATTAAATTGATCAAAATGACATTCATAATGTGAAAATATTTCAGTTGTAAATTAATGCTGCTCTTTTGAACTTTCTATTTATCAAAGTATTATTTATCCTTTAAAAATGTATCATGATTTCCATAAAAACATTGAGCAGCTGTTTAATCACTGGTAATTACCACAGTATGGTAAGGGGCGTAAAATTTCTGTCACACGCTTGAGGTATTCGGCCAATCACAACGCACTGGATAGCTGGCCAATCAGAGCACACCTCGCTTTTCAGACCGATGAGCTTTGTAAAAATCGACGCTTTTCAGAAAGGCGGGGCATAGAGGAGAAACGATAATGTACAGTATGTGGAAAATAATGTGTTTTTTGAACCTTAAACCGCATAAACACATTTCATTACACCAAATACACCAAATAATGTTCTTTTTAGCAACATCATATGACCCCTTTAAATAGTCTGTTTACTTTAAATTGTAATATTTCCTAATTTTACTGATTTACTGCATTAAAGGGTTAAACAAATAAAACCAAAACAAAAACATGCAAGAACATTTTTCACATTCTAGCTCGTCTCATCCAGGTATCCAAGGCCTCAGCTGACCTCATGCGTTACTGTGGAGAAAACGCCAAATACGACCCCCTGCTCATGGGCATCCCTGCCTCAGAAAACCCCTTCAAGGACAAAAAGCCCTGCACTATATTGTAGTAAACAAATAAAACCAAAACAAAAACATGCAAGAACATTTTTCACATTCACATTTTTCTGGATTCCAGGTATCCAAGGCCTCAGCTGACCTCATGCGTTACTGTGGAGAAAACGCCAAATACGACCCCCTGCTCATGGGCATCCCTGCCTCAGAAAACCCCTTCAAGGACAAAAAGCCCTGCACTATATTGTAGTGTAACAAGCATTAATCTTATTTAATTACTTCTACTCAACTTTGTCTTAAGTTCAGCTCTTGCTCCTTAGTATAACTTTGTGCCATGTCTTAACTGTATTTAGCTCTTACAGTATTTATTACTGTAAATAAACTCCAGTCAGTACTAATTAATTGCCATTTTGGTAATAATTAGAATCAAATCTCATCTTTACCAACATCACTTATCTTTTCCTATAAATCAAGCCGTTTAGATGTTTTAAAATGGCCTTAAGTTCCTCTTTCCACCGAATGATGCCTTTAGTTACACTTTGTTTGAAATAGGGAAATAGCACATCACATTATGATACAAGGAGCTTGCAACTACATTAACTGATTAAGTCTCACTTAACGTGTGTTATATATTCCTCTAGCAGTACATATGAATAATGTTATAGCAAAGGGACTGACTGAAATAAATGGAATTTAAAGATCCATATTTTGATTTGGATTATGATCTAATGTGATTTTTGCAATCATCACTGTTTTAGTGCATGCTGGGTAAATAAAACAATATAGTAAATCTCACATCCCACAAATACTGATTTGTTCTCAATTAAAGGTGCTACCACTATGCGCAAAACCATTAGAGACAAGTTACTGGTGTGGTTTATAGGAAAAGAGAACTGATTACCCTGCACTTTCAAACCCATGTGCCTTAGATTGTTCAAAGCAGTCCTCACTTATTACAGATATATACAAATGAAAAGATGACATGTTGACATTTTATCTGTTGACACTGAGTAACTTTTCTGTTCTCTTTAGATTTAAAGTGCCTTTTGCTTTTGAATTTGAGATTCACAACCAAATACCTGTGACCTCAGTATCTCTGTGAGGAAACAAGTTTCCTTTTGTTCTTTTTGGTGTTTCTTTCTATTCTAATTTCTGTATTTTTGCAAGCCTTCATAACATGTGCTATATGTACTGTACCTTGAAAGAAATATTTTATTAAAATTGTGAAATAGTAAAACTAAGTGCATCGCATATGTATGTGTTCTTGCGAAATCTACGGTCAAACAGTTTGTACTGTACTAGTGTATGTCATGAAAATTTGTTATATGTAAAAGCTGATTTTTTCATTTTATGTAAAAGTGCAACTTGGCCATTCTGCAAGATATCACTATTGGTGTTCCACAGAAGAAATAAAGTCATATGGGTGACAGATATGACAGATATTTAATTTTGGGTGAATTATGCCTTTAATTACACACAAAGGAAACAAAACAATGTTTTTACCCCAAGGCTTAGGTGTTAAATAGAATAGTTTGAAACCAAGTAAACTACTGTTCAAAAGGTTAATAAGATAATTTGTATTTTTGTATATTTTGAAATAAGTTTATGCTCAACAAGGTTGTATTTATTTTAAAAAATACAGTATACACAGTAATTTTGTGAAGTATTTTTACAATTTATTTATATATTTTTGTGATTTATTCCCGTGATGGCAATGCTGCATAAATGTCTTTACTGTCAATTATGATCAATTTAATGCATCCTTGCTGAAAACAAAAAAAAAAAGAATTGTTATTTAAAAAAACAACAACAATAGCAACAACTTTTCAATGGTAGTGTAAAAAAATATATTTTTTAAAGAATATACTATATTCTGGATGATGCTTAAAATTATTCTAGGCCATTAAAGATGTGACAAACGATTGTTATTAAAGGATAGTTAATGTGGCGTGAGCTGTGTTACTCTGAGCTCTAGGAGTGGTGCACTGTGATGCAAGTTGACAAAACAGCAGTTATATCACCTGGTCCTTGTTGCACCAGCTGTCTAAAAATAGTATTTTTAAAGACGTCAGAAAACTGCCTACACAGAGCAGTTAACACTAGCTGAGAGACTAGCTGACTTTCGATCAAGATTACATATGGTTCATTTACACAATCTGCTAAACTAATTTGTAAGTAATCCCTAACTGCCATGTTTTGCATTCAACTCGTCTTTGAGAGATGCTATTTTTTTTCCCCCTGACCAAGTACCTAGTTTTTTCTTGTTCACGTGACTGAAGTTTACCTACCTTGCATCAGTCTAACATCATTCAAACCTTGCTTCATCACCTTTGCATAGGGAAGTGGTGGGTTACACAACTGATTTACTGGTATGTGGTATCTGGAAACCTGACCCAATATGTGCCAGTCATGTGATCTGGGCTGCACATTCTGAACACTTCCGTTCTCCAGCTGGTCTTGTGTAATGCGTTACATTCTTGCTACGCATTGACTTTTAACCTACAGAGTAGTATCAGTTTGACAAACATAGCACAATTAAGAGCAACTTGATTTACGACAGCAAGTTTGACACTGACGCAAGCAAGCGTACAGTAAACTGAACCTGAGCAATTCATTTCGGCTGAAAAAGGAATCTGATGAATAGATGCAATGGTCACGCTAACTACAGCAGGACAAAAGAAAGGCTTGGATGGCTTTTGTTGGTCTGTAATAGGGAGTCACGAAGGCCACTGAGTCCAGCGTGACCCTGCTGATCTGAGAGGTGTATGGTGTTGTCAGGTCAATTCTATTAGTCCACTCTGCATTTCCAGAAACCTCTAACAGAGTAACCCGCATGACTACCATGTTGTGTTCAAAAATACTTTTATTACAACACAAAATTCATTTCGCATTTGAATATAATAGTATAAAAAGTTTTTACGTAAATACTTCTTTAAATTAATATAAATAATTTAAAGACCACAAAAGAACAATTGTGTAAAAAAAAAGTTCTTACAGGATACTGTGAATGCATAGTTTTCATCTCAGTGGTTTAGAAGCAAGTCCCTTTAAAATAATCTATTTTCCAACATTAATAAGTACTAATAGCATACTATTAAAAATGATGGGGCAGCCTCTTTGAAAAATATCACCTCTGATATTGTGTTACCTGAGAAATATTTCATCCTGTAATTAACTGAAGTGCTTTATGACACCCCACCAATAAACTATCTCACAAGATTCTCAGGCGCTCACTTCCATTCACAATTAGCTTCCTGTGACGTCCTCAAAAAGTCCCACAAACAAAGCCAAAAACTGCTGAATCATCTCAGATTGCAAAAGGGTGCTCCTCCTCCAGTTCATTCTGTAGGTTAGTCCCTAGTTCCACCAGTCTGTACTATCAGTCCTTTTTGTGAGCACCTTTTTTAGCTTTTATCATTTTTACTAGATATTTTTTATCCATGTTTTCCCTTGTTTTTAGCTGTCCTCATCGTTCTGGAAGGTTAATAATGGGCACCCATTGATCCATACAGCGACTCTCTCTGCAGAAGCGGTTCACTTTTCCCAAAGCTGGGTTCTTCCATGTGGATGCATGTGGAACCTGTGAACATCAGAAGAAGAGATGGGATTACATTCTGTTTGTGTTTGCTACTGAGTGTCCTTCTAAGCATTGAGCATTGTCCTTTAGTCAGCCTTGTCTTTGGATGGCACCCATATGATTTCAAATATTTTTTGTGAATTCGGAATCTATCAACAAACCATAAACACATTTTTTTTTTCCTGGATGTGTCCTTGAACAATTTAGAAATCCCGGCCAGGACATGTCCAGGAAAAAGAGGACCTATGGTCACTCTACATAAGTAGGAATAAAAGTGAAGTCAAACTGCAGTAGAGAACCATGAATTTAAATGTCCGAGGGGATTTTGAGAGTATGCAAATCTTACTAAATGCATCCTATGAAGTATATAAAACCTTTTGAAAGAATATTAGAATGATAAATACTGAGGCACCTGTTCATTTGATTCCAATGGAGAAAAATAAATGAAAATAGGAGCCTGGAACATTAAGTGAAGAAACTCCTATTTGCATAATGAGTACAGAGCAGGATGTGCACTTGGGTGTCAGTCAATGGCAGTTACACCTGGACATGTCCTGACAAGTTACTAAAAGAAGTGTCTCACGTGCAGGGTACTGGCCTATTTTGGCATTAGCTTCCTATTTAGATTCTAATCCCAGGTACAATTATTGTTGACACTTACAGTGACCAGAATGCAGTGCAGATCCATCTGCTCGCTGCCGTGCATGCCGGCGCCCCCGAGGATGTGCTCAAGGCGACGCGTGTTGTTGACGCGCAGGATGTTGATGTCATTCTCGCAGCAGAAAGCCTGAATGAGAGTGAAGTGAATCTGAAGCGCCACATCCTTCACATCATCGTCGTCTGTGGCCAGGATGCACAGCACCACGTTATCAGGGTCCCTAAATAGAAGAGTTGAGATTTGAGTTAGTTTCCCTGCACCTGTTGAAATGATATTGAAAGCCAGTAACACTGACAGACAGCCTCTAAACGTACACATTGAGTGACTTTGCAGCCTCGTACACCCCAACTGTAATACATCCCTGCGGTAATGCGGAGCGCAGAACTTCCTCCAGAGCTTTAATCACAGAATCCATCCTGTAGAAACACAATTCGGATAAATTATTAAGTAATAAAACATTAATAAAGTCCAGAACGTTGAAGTTTTTGAATGGTGACAGCTCGTGCGGTTTTAAACTGCGTCGGTTGAAAACTATTACAGTAATTTGAGTAATGTAAGTTACTCACTGCTAGTTTAAGTGTTTGGGTGAGTAATTTGCCTGCGTTCCTCTAATATGAGCAGATCAAATATAAGCAAAACTTATTTTGCAAAACTTTAAAGACCTGCTAAAGTTCGGCTGTTTAATAGGCACGTCACAGCGCGCGAAGGGTCTCGTGAGCTGAGCTCGTGCAGCTGACACTTTACCCGGTATATGAGTTTCCTGTCTTTATTTCACATGTTCCACAATAAACAGAAATATAACTCGTTATATAAAAAAAAAA